TCAGTCCAAAAAAATTCACAAGTACGGAGAAGAGTGTTACGGATGACAAAGCATCAGGTGTTATTTAAAACAATTATATCACGTCGCGCGAATTCGAAGAACTTTAGAGAAGCGTCAAAATAGCGATGGGACATGCTAGATAACATCTAACTATAAGATTCGACTCCGCAGGCGAACTTGTTGCTCACTATATTTTATTTTCGTAAATGAAAGACGATACTTTGCAACGCACTCGCCTATTTTGTAGCTCCGTCATAATCTCCGCATAATGTTTACTACGTATATACACGCGAATAATCTCAAAATCCCCGGGCGGCAATGTGGTGCATTTGTGTGCGATTATGCACTTCTTCTGCAAGACGATGAATTCAATCGACACATCACGAACGCTAGAACTAATAAACAACTCTCGGCAACACGGAATAACTTTGTCACTTGTTTCTTTGTCATATTTCTTTTCTTTTCCGATCTTGCAATTTACTTGGCAAAAGTGATCTTGTAAAACAAGATTGAAATCCAGAAAGTCATGTTTAATATTTATTTCACTTCTATTAACCTTTAAATAAGAGATTTAAAAATATGCAAATTGGTAGCTGAAGTGCTCAAAATGCCTAAAAAAATTTTATAGTTATATTTTTTATAGATATTTATATTATAATTAAATTTAGATTAGTTACATATCTAAATTTAAGAAATCAGTATTTATAGTCGATTCTTATACTTTAATCTTATACTTAAGATCATCTTAAGTACAGTCTTAAGATGTCAAAAAAATAATGAATTAACATCTGCAGACATTATTTAAGACGGAGTTGAACCAGAATGAATTATGTAATATTAATACTAGTCTAAGATTTCTGGATAATATTTTTTATTTTTCTTTTCCAAAATAATATTTTAAAGAAAATTAACACTCACAGAGAAAAATTTTTAATACTTGTGGCTATAATTACATATTACTATAATTATAGTTACAAATACTAAAATGTTAATAATAATAAATATATATACGGTTTTATCAACAAATATACAGTTCGCAATAAAAACAAAATTATTATAATTATAGCTACTATTCTATAAAAATGATCATAATTCTTATAATTTAAACATAATTTATAGTCATTTTTGGAAGTAAGATTGGCCCAAAAATAATTATGGAGT